TCTTAAAGGGTGGCTTCCAGTCATTCCTTTGGATTTAAGGAAGGATGGTATGGTGATTAGGGTGCTGGACTCCCACATGGGCCATCGTGGTTCAAGTCCCAGACTTGGTGCCTTGCTTTCTCACTCTTCCCCCATTCCCCACCTCTCTCTCTCTCTCTCTCTGGTCAATTTAAAAACCAACAATAATTAAATTAAAATTTTTAAAAAGAATGAACAAGACTGGAGCCACAGGTGGCATGGTGGTTAAGGTGCTGATTCCCACATGGCTGACCATGGTTTTAGTCCTGGACCTAGAAGTTTGCTTTCTCATTCTCTCTCTCTCTCTCTTTCTCTCTCTCTCTGTTGAGTGCACAAGCCCTATAAAAAATTTTAAATAACAATAAATATTATTTATTAATCTTTATTAATAAATAATAATTATAATAATTTATTGGTAATGATAAATGTTATTTGTTGTTATTTTAAACACATAAAAATTAATAGGACAGTAAACAGTGCAATTCATCAAGCCCTTTAAGCACAGCATAAATACACGGTGCAATGTGCCTTCACCTTATCTACAGTGTCCACACAGGAAGATGGGTGCAAAGTGGATGCTTGGGTAAGAAGCACAGTTTCTCCCTCTTGTGGCAGAGGACTTCAAAAAGTTCATGGAAAAATGAAATTAAATTACAACCTTATTTTAGTGTAAAAAATTGTTTCAAAATTCATGCATAGTTTTTTTCATATTTTCCATGAACCTTTTTGAAGATTCCTTATGTAGTCACCCTTTTTTCTCACTGAACAGATTTTGTAGGCAATTCTATTAGTAGTAACACCTTACAACCTCCTGAAATTTCTTAGGAAAGGGGCTTTTGTCATTCCCACTAGGTCACTGATTTCCACACAAAGAAAACATCTTAGTAGTGTCAAAAGAAAAATTAAAAAAGCAAATTGAGTTTTTTTAAAAAAAAAAAAAAGATTGCACTGAAATCTTCAAATTTTGACTAAAGCAAGATTTCGACAAGTGTTGGCCTTTAAAACTCAATAAGTAATTTTAATAATTACTCCATAATTTTCATGGAAACAGAGCATCTATAGAAGTCAGAAATAAAATTTTTTCACTGGGAAAAAAGTTAAATACATTTTCCCAGTAACGGTAACCTGTTCTTAAGTGGAGATGATAAAATGACTTTTGTCTTATGACATGGGCATTCTGTGTGATGATCAAAGTCACTGACTTACACATCAGTGCTTAAAAATGTGTAGCAAAATCAGACTAAAACATTTCTTAAAGTGTTTACTTATTTGGGGAATAACAGCATTCACTTTAAAAATGTGGCCATTCAGTTTTGATGGTAAATAAATCACACAGCAGTCTCTCTCCACCATCTAGCCACATTGAATAATAAATCTTCACATTCAACTTTACACCAGACATAATGCTATAAAGTACAAGTCTAGTTTTAACTCAGTGACCTCAGTTTTGCCTCTGCTGGACAGTAAATCTGGTGCAAAATGAGCAAATATGGGTGGCTGAGTTTCAACCTGGCATAACAGTGAGGCTTTGTCAAGGATCCCAGAATTTAGAGTTTTTAGGGACAAAAATAAAAAGCCTGAAAAACAAAAACATATGCTAAACAGCTGAGGATAGAAAAATTAAAGGATAAGAAGAGCTTTCACCTTAGCTAGAAAATCATTCTATTTAATGACTTTTTTTTTGGTTGACTCATTTTAAGGTTTCTTTCTTAATTTGTAAACTACTATCTCTAAAAGTAGGTGAATAAAGAAATATTCATTCTTTCATTCTTTCAATTAATGCTCAACAATTATTATTTTCATGCCCTACCATTGGGTTGTCAGAAAAATCAAGGTGTATTTTTCTACACGAAAATGTGTCATGACTTTTCCCACAACCCAATAGCTCTGGGACACTGAGAAAATTATTTAACTTTACTGTATTGCAGTTTCTTCATCAAATGGGGACAACACCCACCCATCACTCATGAGACACTTTTACTGTAACCATGCATACTCTCTGTATGATACACCATGCCAAAGTTGAGGTTTACAATCGTAAACAAAGCAACCAGATTCTCTGCCTCCAGGAAGGCAGGGGACATAATTAGGAAGCAAAAATAAATAAGCACAGAATTTCAAAATCTACCAAGTAGCTCAAGAAACATACAGGGTATTCTGAATAAAAGAGGGGTCCTCCATAGGTGGAGGGCACATGGAAGGCTTTCCTGAGTTAGGGACTTCACTGTACTTTGAGCTGAGTTCTAAGGGATAAGGAGTTGTTGGCCATACAAAGAGAAAGACAAGCCCATTCCAAGCCAAAAATTTGGAATATGTAAAGGCCCTGCCTTTGGGATTAGCCTGGTGTGTTCCAGGAACTGTGGAGATGGAAGGAATGGGTAAATCAGGCAGAATCAAAGAGAATAATAAAGCATTTGGTTTTAGTCCATATGGATAAAGAAGTCACTGGAAAGTTTTTCACCATGAGAATGACAAATTTTTGTTCTGCAAGCTGATGCCAGTTGCTGAGTAGTAAATGGAACAGAGAGGTTCAGAAAGCATCAGGCAAGATGTTGAGCTGTTCTAGTGGGAGATGGAGGATGATCACTTGGCAGAGGACAGAGAATGAAGACAGAGACCCAAAGAAACAGACAAAACTTGAGGTACCTCCCAAAATCTCTGAAAAGGTCTGTCTTGGCAATGTCTACCCTGCTTTAAACATTACCAAGATAAATGGCTAAGAAGATTTAAATAGTTCCTATTTCACTGAAACTTTTCAGATGGCTCTCTTCATGAAAGCCAGTGGCTAGTGATTATTTTTATGGTTTTTGCCAAGAGGTTGACACCTGTGCACTGATTTGACAGTTAGGCTGACCTCCATATGTAGTTTAGATGGACAGCTATAGACCTCAATGTTACTTACAATGCAAAATCACAAGGAATAAGAGTATTGTACCTGGACTGTAGACAACTCACTGTTTTCACTTTAGATTGAATTATAAATAGTTTTTTTGGCACACGAGCTGGAGATCTGGTGCCAACCAGGACAAGGAAGGCATTCTCTGTCATAGGTTCCTGGTAAAGTACCCAAAACTAACCTTGTTTTCAGCTTCCCACAACAGAGGTTAAAGTAGGCAATACTTCATGAAAGTTATGTGCTTGCATAAACATATTGTGCTTTGGGGAAAAAGAAAGAAGGGAAGAGAGAAATGGAGAGAAACATTGAAAGGAGGGAAAGGGGAGCGAGAAAGAGAGAGACAAGAAAAGAGAAGTGACTGGCCCCAGAGCACTGCAGTGGAGCACTGCACAGAAGAAGCTGGATATCACGTGGCTGATCAGGGTCCAAGTCCCAGTCTTGGTGGCTTACAAAATTACGGCGGGTGTGCACACACAGGTCCAGAACCCTGACAGGATGGAAAACTGAAAGAAAAATGCAGAGTGATCAGGCCCCGATTGGGAGTGAGAGGTAGGATTCTCCCTGTTTCTCTTTCTTGCATGCACACATGCCCTCTGACTTTATTTTTTTTTTTTAAAGGAGAAAAGAGAAGAGGAGAGGAGAAAGAGAGGGAGTTAAGGCATGATTTGTCATCACCCAGAAGTGCTAACGCTGGCTCCCAAACCTCAAGCTCTGATTCCTTCATCAATCTTAATACCCCCCAGATTCTGTGTAGAGCAAACATGGAAAGAAAAGAAAGTTCTTAGCCAAATATTGGAGTTCAGCTTGGAAAAATGAGCTCTGCAATGACAGCACATATTTTTAAAGGCTTATTGGGATCTAACTAAGGAGACTGGCTCCAGGCCGCGTAGTTTCACATATTTTCTTGATTCCTAAGTTAATCATTTTTACATCATCCACTTTAAAATACGCCAAAGGGAAGCTCCCTCCAGAAATAGTCATTCATTGGCATTTCACAATTAAACACAAGACCACATTTGTGCGAGGAGCCTTGAACAAGAATTTGATTTAGATTTAATAAGATGCACACTCATGTGTAATGCATATCAATGAGTCTGAAAAGAGATATTTCATATGATACAACTCTAGCATAAAACTAAATCAGTTTTAACAACTCATCGGGATTTATTAAGCACAGCTTAGCAACTTGATGGAGTTATGGTTAATGGTATCTGAGCCTACGATGCAAGAAAAATGAATATAAATTTTCCTTTTCCCTATCAACATATCTTAAGCAAACAATTCATGTTTTTGCATTAATCACACCCAAAAGAAACAAAGAGAGAGAGAGAGAGAGTGCAAGTGAGAAGTGGAAAATATAACATATACTACTACATTTGTAGTATGGTAAGTTAGCTTATATTGGTCATTTATTTTTTAAATTTAACTTTTAATTTTGAACACTTCAGTTTCTTTGCCCTGAAAAATATCTGCCATGTGTTTTAAGAAGACAAATATTCCATGAAAACAGTGACTCCTCGATCACTGAAAAAAATCACTATTCTTATTTTCCATCATTTGTAAATCTTATCTTTTCTATAATACTTAATTGTTCTCATCTCCCTCTGCAAGCATGGACGATGAGTAACTATGTGTTACAAATAGATTCATGGTTTGCTCTCCGACTTTCCTTTTATGCAACATAAATTACAAATGTGCTTCTTTCCTTGGAGGATGTGTTGGAGGTTGTCAAACTTCACATATGGCCACCCTTCATCTCTTCAACCCCACTGCTAAACACAAACACACATTTTAAATTAAGGGGAGGAGGGAGGAATTATAATCCTAACTGATTAATTATAAATCATAGAATATTTTTAAAGAAATGTATTTGATTACTCTCAGTACCCCACAGCACAGTAGTTGAAAGAGTTTCCAACTGGAAGCTTTACTGCTCTGTGTTAATGATCTCACAGAATGAATCTGTATCACTAGCATATGACTGCAAGAAATGAGATTGCTGCTTTAGTAGAAGAAATACTTTCCTCAAGGGCATTTAACATGCTCCCAATCGCCTTTTGTTTGTTGGTGTTTGTTTTTGCTTTTTCATTGTGCAAACCCTCAGAACTTACAGCCTACAGGTAAGAGGGCTGGGCAATGGTTTGAGGCTACAGCTTACTTTGGCCTGGGTATACTGTAAAAGACTCAAGGAGAATGGCCTGCCATAAATCCTTACCATGCCCCAGCCGCCTTCTTTTCACTCTGGATTTTTTTGATCAAATGGTTCCATTCCATCACAGTTTGGTCCCAAGATAAAGGTAGGATGCTCTGATGATCATTTTTAAATCATTGTTCCAGGAAAATAAAGAGACCAGGGAAAATACTGTAATAGGCTAAGGCCGGCATTGCAACTACTAAATCTATTACCGAAAGCACAAGCCAGGACAGAGGCCCTCAACAACTGTGACCATGGGCAAGACCAGCTGAGCTGCTGCTGGCAATCCCCCTGTGCTACAAGCAGCCAACCCTGGGCACACGGATCTTCCAAAATCCCTTCACTATGTTGGGTCTAAGAAGGAAAATAAGAACGATCTGAACTTGACCCAGAGTTCGAAATCAAAGGAGACTCAAGACCCAGGCAAATTTAATCACAAATCCCTTCAGAGACATTCACAGAAATAAACTTTAACTCAGCCCACCTCACTGTATCTCACAGATGTACTCAAGTTACACTATCTAGTACCCAAAGAAGAGTAGTAGGTAGACGGTCTGTTCCTTTATTCACTGGGCATCCAAGAAACAGCAATTAGATGCCAACCGGGTGGCTGACATTAATGTAAGCAAAATCTAACAGAGTCCCTGACAGCGTGGAGTTTGTAGCCTACTGAGGGTATTAGTCAAATTATGACACAAATAAATGTGTAAGTTATAACTAAGGTCTTCAAAGAGAATGAATGTAGTTCTGCGAAAGTACAATTGAAAACGTTGGAAGGAAGGAAAGAAACACTACCAAAGATTGGAAGTCGAGAGAAACTGTTCTTGATGATGGAGATATACTGAAAGTCAAAGAGTAATTGGAGGGGATCAGCAGTTAGCATAATGGCCATGTTAGGGGACTGCCATGTGGTCGACCGTGGTTCACATCCTGGACCCGGTGACTTAAAACTCATGCCGGGTGCGTGTGCGTACATGCCCAAGATCCTGAGAGGAGAATGGAGGAGAAGGGATTGCAGCATGGTCATCCCCCCTGGGGGGTGATTTCTCACTTTCTGTCTCTCTGTTTCTCCCTGTCTGTCTGGTGAGCGCACATGCCCTATAGTAAAAATCCCTAAAAAAAAAAAAAAAAGAAAGAAAAGAGTAACTGGGGAGTTAGAAGGGTGTCAGCAGAGGGAACAGGGCCTGTGAGAGGCCTTAAGCAAGAAGGAACATGGGAGTGTTCACACACAACAGAAGTTTCACAAGCTAGGATATGCAGAAGGAAGTGACAAAATGTGGGCAGAAGGAAAACCATGGGAGGTTCATAAGGCACATGAAAGGGAGAGGTCTTTGCCCAAAAGCAGTGAGAAATACCCATGTATTTAAAAATAAAGTTGTATGTGGATTTATTCTATTGTAAGAGTGAAATTTCTAACCAATAGGAAGAGAGAGAGAGATGAATGAATTAATGTTTGAGGACAACTGGCTGGTGATTTAAAAAAATAATAATAAAGCCAGATTTTAAGTCACTTTTTACACTGAAATATATTCCAGATAGACAAATGGTTAAAAGCATAAACTGAAAGGTGAAGAGGTACTAGAAGAACAAAAGCATAACTGATTTTCTAATCTGAATTGAAGAAATCCACTTAATCATATTAATGAAATGCTAAAATCATATAGAAAACTGCATAAATATGACTCAATAATAAAGCAAAACTTCTTTTTCTAAATGTATTTATTGGGTCATCAGGAAAGTCATGATGCTTTTTTGCATAGAAAAACATACAAAAATATGTCATGACTTTACCAATGACCTAATTTTTCCTTTATGAGAGAGAGAAAAAGGAACAGAGAGAGACAGAGAGAAAAGTGCTCTTGACACAGTCTTGACACTGTGATCCCTCGCCCTGTTCAGGCAGACCCAGGTCCTAAACTCAGAGCCTTCCCATATGGCCTCTGATATCAGCGGTCCTGCCTCACCATGGCTGACTTAAAACTTCTTTCTATCTAGCAAAAAAAGGAGAAAAGAGATGGGAGAACTAAGAACAGAGCACATACAGGAAGAAATGAAACAAGGAAAAAAATAGAAGAAAAAAATAAAGTCACCCCAAAACTAACTTGTGTAAAAAAAAAAAAAAAAAAGGCAAAAAGTACTAATAATACATTTTATGGACAAAGAATGATTATTCCTTAATTCCAGAAACACTATTGGACAAAACGAGGCTACAAAATGTCACGCCTAACATAATTACACATGCATGGACTGAGATACATAGTTACCTCTTTATGAACACAGAGAACATTTTTATCTTCCTTATTATCTACATACAAGAATACAGAAGATCAAATGTATTCATCACTTCTTTTATGATTCCAACATATCCTAATATTATTAAACAGATTTCTCTAATCCAGAGTAGAAAAAAAAATGTATGCTTACGTTCTTCTAGTATCCCTTCAATTTTCAGAGCTTGTACCTCACTCTTTGGTCTATCTGGAAAGCATTTTAGCTTAAGGAGTGAGGTAAGGCACAATCATCCTCTAAGGGTTTGTCTTGATTGTGGAATTTGGGCTGCTGGGAGGGAGTTGGGTATCTGGGAAAAGCGAACTTACTTTCTCGCCCTAACCCCTACACCAGTCTCTGCAAATTTGCGCACGATCCCACAGCACCCACAAATGCTCACACAGCACATAAACCCACAGAGGTGCAGAGGGAATAAAGGAAGGAGATGGACAAAGAGATAAAAGAGATTGAGTAGATCTTAAGTGTTCCATCTCTGGTAAAAAATTGCTACATTTTTACTCCCATCCCTATGGTTCTGAGTGAGCCTGGGTGGCCACTTCTCTTCTGAAGGCACCATGCTGAACACAGCCAAGAGGAAAACCAGAGGGTTCAACAATGTCAACACCAGCACCATGTCCCCCAGCAGAGCGGGATAGGTAGGGGATGAGCTGGGCCATGGTATAGCCTGGGGGTGAGAGGTAAGAGGATGAAGGATGGGGTTAAGCATCAACCAATGGCTATTAAATTGAGTTTCTAATGCATCCTCAAGGTCATGATAAAGGTTAAAATAAGTGTTTTCACAATGAGTATATTATAAAGGACAGCTAGGGAATCGGCCAGTAGGTAAATCAATGAAACACAATACTTGATATGTCTAAAGTGCTACTCCATAGCTAAAAAGTAAAATGGATCAAAATAATGAATTGACCATCAACATGATTTTTAAGGATTTTCAGATACAATATCCATTAAAGTGTGACCTTGGTTACATGTAAAAAAGCAAGCTCATCAATCCATGGCAACTGTCCTGGGTGCCGGAAGTATTCAACCATGACTAGTAGTCAGCATAAGTCTGAATCCCAGGTCTAGATACGTGCCTCAGCTAGGTCCCCTCACCAGCTCAAACAGCACTACCACAGGATTCTGACTCAGGTCTGCAGTCTCCTTCTAGTCATGAATCTCAGTGTGCCACTACATCCATAGGAGTTGCCAGGACATTTTCTAGGCCCATGACTTTGTTCAAATGGACAACTGAGAGAGAGCACAAAAAGTCAGCACATGTCATGGTTGGAGACACACTGAGATGCATGACTCTAATTTCTTCATGGGGCTCCAGCTCCATGACCTCACTTAACCCCCACTGCCTCTCAAAGGTCCCACCTCCTGATAGAATCACATTTAGGAGTTAGGACTTCAATATATAAATTTGAGGGGGAACACAAACATTCATTCTATAGCAGCCAATAAAATGCCCAGAAATGGGCCAGTCAATGATATGGTGGTGAAGGTAGATGGATCCGATATGGCCAACTGAACAATCAAGTCCCAGACCTGGTGACTTGAAAACAAGCCCAGCACATATGACTGCATGTCCAAAATCCCAACAAGATGGAGAAATGGAGGAGAAGGTAATATGGTAAGGCCATCCCCCATTGGGATGCCTTCTCACTTTCTCTTTCTCTCTCTCTGGTGAGCACTCATGCCATCTAACAAATAATAATAACGGTAATGACAATGCCTAGAAGTGACACTGCTTGGCATATGAAGCTCAGTTCTAAAAGCTGATGCTGCTTCTACTTGGTCACTGGAATAAGTATTCGACACTTTTTTCTGACACAAAAGCAGTTCAACTGCCTTAAGGCTTCCATTGTGTTAGGAAGCCCAAGTATCCATGTGGAGAGATCACATGAAAAGGCCTGAGATTTTATTAAGAAAGAGATAGAATGAATGAATGAATGCTGATCTTGTCCAGAGCTGTTCCAGCTCGAATGTTTCAGCTCCAACTACTGATAGGACCCAGAACCCTTCCGCCAAGTCTTTCTCAAACTTCTGGCCCACAAAAACTGATACAGACCACAAAATGATGGCTTTTTAAGTCACTACATTTTTAAGGTGAATTTTTAGATGGCAACGTGACTAGGAAACACTGCGAGACAAAAGCAGAGAAACAGAATGGCCTTATTTTGAAATTTGATTTCTCGTACTTGCATAAAGCAATTTTGTTTAGTTGAGGGAAGCATCTGTGTTTTACAACTTTCATTATTTCCCTTCAGACATGCCGTTTTTCTGGATAAGGAATTGTGGACTACACTCTAAAGCCACATACTAATGGACAAATTATGGCCTGTAGGAAAAGCAGCCTCCTGGGGTCCTACATCCCCCGTAAGATGCCAATTATTCACAGAACCCAAAGTCATATATTCAAATTCCCCTCAAGAAATCTATTTCTCACACTGTTTATGATCAAATACTGCCTAGGGGAGCAAGTCTCAACTTAAAAGTGGTTACACATAAGTAATAAGGTATAAAATCTCTTCCTGTGTGTTTTCATAAAAGGTGAAGAACGCCACTTTTTTCTCTCATATTGTCAACCTCCCACATGCAGATAGGAACCTATAAAGTCTAAAGGCACTGAGACCAAGAAATCAGGAAAGATGAAAATGCTAAAGAATACAAGACCCTGTTGAATCTCACCAAAATAATACAATGATATCCACCAAAAAGCAATGCATTTTTGGCAACAGCTGTGCTTCTACAC